CTTACCCCTTCTTATTAGTATAGAGTATAATCCTATAGTCTACCCTTAGCTTATATAAGTTAAGCTTATTTACTTCTTAAGACTTAAATAGTAGTAAGAGGTTATAAAAGCGCTTTAATATCTACTACTATAGCTTAGAAGGCGACTTTAGCTTTTTTATTTAAAGGGCCTTATCGATATCTACTAAGCTAATTATATAGACCGCTATATTAGCCGCTACTTAGCCTTCCTTCTACTTTACTTATTATATAGTTCTTATAAAGATAAAAGTAAGGACTTCTTAAGCTAAGTATAAAGCTTATATACTTAGTCCTATACTTATAAAACCGTTATTATAATAGACCTACTATTATATAGGCTTAAACTATAGCTTCTTTTAGTATAGAACTAAGTATAACTTTATATATAATAACTAAGGTTTCCTAAGGATTAAGGGAAACTCTAGCTAAGGGATTATATAGGCTATAATAAGCTTATAGTAACCGTCGACCTTTATAGCTAGCTATATAATACCCTTAATTACTATACTTTTTATTACGCTTAAAGCGCCCTTTACTTACCTTAGAGCGATCTTTTCTACTAGTACATATATCTCTTATATAAGCGCCTTATTAACTATAGCGTAGTACTAGTAGCCCTTATTTATAAAGGCGGCGATAGGTAAAGAGTTATTAATTATAACCTATATTAAAGTAAGCTCTTTTTTTATATAGGTAGATAATTCCTCTTTCTCTTTTACTAGTACTAGTAATTAAGGCTTTAAAGCCTATCTTTACTCCGGAGCTACTCTTTTTCCTCTAGGCCTAGGGGCATAGAGTCCTCTTTATTATCTAAGGTAAGGAGCGGTTCTATCTTTACTACTTAAACTACTATAGGCTACTTAGCTAAAAAGAAGGGGCATTTTAATATAAAGTATATAAACGCGCTTTAATATAAGTAATAGCCGTTAGCCTTCCTTTTCCTAATTTCCTTACTTATTACTTACTTTACTTACTACTTAAAGTATAAGATAGTATAAAGGGTATTTAATAATAACTTCCTACTATATTTAGCTTAGTTTATATAAGTAGCTAATATTAAGGTATCCTTATTAGTATCGATAGTTAGCTATTCCTTTTATAAAAGGGCGGTAATCTTATTACCGCTATATAGTATATACTTATAAAGCTTTTAAAAATATAGCGTTTACTTATAGCCCTATACTACCTTTATTAACTAGCTTATATACTTACTATAGTTAGTAAGTATAATTATAAGGATAAGTAGCTCTTATAGGGCTAGCGTAATTAAGTTTTATAACTATATAAGCTTTATACTATCTTCTTATATTATAGTTCCCGCCGCTTATAAGAACGTCTCTTTAAAGTTAGGGAGGAATTCGTTAAAGGTCTACCCGTTCCTTTACCTAAGGGTCTATAGCCTATTATATACTTTCTCCCGCTCCTATTAGCCTTATTTACTAGGCTAGATATCTTATATTCTATAATTTCCTATATTAGATTCGCGGCTAAGCCTAACTAGACGTATTTTAAGGCTTTAAATATAATTTAGAAATATTTAAATAAATTCCCTAGCCTAAAGATTAAATATAGTTATAGTATCCCTTTTACCTATCTATATATAAAGGGTTTTACCGACTCTAGCTAGGCGTTGGATTTAATAGACGGAAAATCCTTTTCCGGTTACTATTTTTATATATATAATAATATAATAAGCTAGGCTTACTTTAAGTAGAAAGCCGTTGCTCTTTTTACTTATAAAGCAAAGTATATTAGCCTTAGGGAAGTAAATAAAGAAGCTATTTATTTAAATATACTTTTTAAAAATATTACTAAGGATCTATTTATTAAGATTCTTAATACTATACCTCTTATTTTAATAGATAATACTACTACTATTAAATTAGTAGAAAATCCGGAATTTTATAAAAGGTCTAAGTATATACTCTAGCGCTACTATTCTTAGGTTTATCGGTAGGAGGAGTCGGATCGCGGCCGTCTCTATTATTACCGTTATCGTTATCTTAGCCCTTATTTAGCTAAGCCTCGTTTTCGATATTAGCTTACTTATTTTAAGGAGCGGCCTAAGCGATAATCTCCTATTAGCTAGAGCCGCCCTATTAAGATAGAGTAGCTAGGTTATTAGTACTTACCTAAGAGCTCTTAGGTATAATCTCCTTATTAGTATTAGTATCGCTAATAAGGGTAATAAACTTATAAGTTTCCTAGCCTATAAAGGTAGGCTTATTAGTAGTCGGAGTTAAGGTATTTAGTAAGGTAATAAGGGCACGACCTTTATTACTATTAAGTCCTAAACTAAAAGTTTCCTAGGACTAGGATTCCCTTATACCTTTCTTAGCTTTCTTTATTAAGAGGGAACTAGCGTTACTATAAGACTTCTAAGCTAATCGCTTATACTTTAAGGGCGAATACGCCGCTACTTACTCTTATATATAGTATAGGAAATCGGCGTTATAGCTCTTTATCTTCTTTAGCGTAAAAAGTATTATTATTAATAAATCGTTAATAAAAAGTAATATAAAAGGTATAAGGGATTAATAAAAAAAGGTATAAAACTCTATAGTAATCGTAAGCGGAAGAGCTAAAGAAGAAAAGAGAAGAAAAGAAGTAAGAGATATATACGCACGCTCTTTATATTATAGTTACGCGGCCGATATATAGGCGATACTATAATAGTTACTTAGCGGTAACCGCTAGTATAATACCTATTAATATTATAGAGCATAGACTAATATATACTTTTATAGGTATATATACGCGATATATAACCGAAACTACCTCTCTTCTTAACTAAATATATATAATATAGTAAAAGTAATATATATTAAAGATATAGCTAAGACGTTTATATAGGAAGGGAAATAATTATAAGAGCGCTATATAGAGGTATAAGCTAATAAAGTACTTAGGTATATAGTACTAATATATTAGTAAGGTATTAGTAGGGAATTATGCCTACCCCGCTTATAAGATATAGACTACTTACTACTTTAATAGAAGAGGAGAAATCCCTCTTCTTATAAGCTTTAGTCTTATAATAAGGAGAAAATAATATATATAGCGTAGTACTTCTAGCTATCTTTACTACCTAACTAATCGTACTATAATATATATTCTCTTATATATAGGCGCGGGTATAGGCATTTAGGTAGTATAAGTACTTACTAAGCGCGCGCGGTATAAATAGGCGGGGCGGGCTAGCCTTAGTATATATCTTAAAAATAAGTCGAGTATATAAATAGTAATATACTATTATATAAATAGTAATACTCTTTTATATATACTTCTTATATCTCTTTTTATAAGAATTATATAGTAGGTTAAGAGATCTAATAAATTACTAGTAAATCCCTTATATATATTTACCTTAGTATAATAAATTTTAGATATACTATAGTATAAGTAGGTATACCCTTTACTTTTTACTCTTATATATAAGTATATAAAATTAAAGTATAGACTAAAAGTTAAAATATTATATTTAGAAAAACCTATTTAAAGGGTTTTATTACTTCTATTATTTCTTATTTATACCTATAAATTATCTTTTTAGCCTTATACTTATTTTTATCGCTTTCCTATACTATTAGTAAATATACGTTTTCCTAGCTTAGTAAAGTAAAGAGGAACTAAGATATTAGCTAAAGTATAGCGTTTACTTTTTTAACCTTAGCTACGAGCTCCCGCTTTATAGGTAGCTTACCCTTTAAATTATCCGAGTAGTTATCTTCTTTCTTCTATTATCTATAATAGATCGAATTCTTTTATTAGTCTTATATATAATAAAAACTTAATATCTAGTATAAGCTAGCTATAAAATACTATTAAGTATTTAGCCCTACGCTATCTTTATTAGGGCGACTCCTTAGGTAGTTACTTACTATAACTCCTTTTAACGAAGTTATAAGAATCTAGTAAAAGAAATACTATTTTCTATAATTAACTAGTCCCCTTATATATAAAGATCTATCTTTTTAAGCTAGATAATCTCTAAGTTATATCTTTAGTATTTAATTCTACCCCTATTCTTAAATATATTTAGACTTAAGTTACTTTATTTATCTTATTATAGGATAGGTTATAAGTCGTACTAAGAAGTATATATAAACAGCTAACTTTAGCTTCTTCTTTTTTTAAATAAAAGCCATCGCGTAGGGGCGTATACCACCCTAATATAGGCATTAACTCTATCTCCTATATAGAAACAGAGGGTTACTAGTGCGGGTATAACTAGACGAAGGCACACTCGCAATGGTACCTAGCTATCTTAGATGCACTGCTTTCGTGACTTTTTATCGTCCTATTCCTAGAAGGCTTCGCGTCGAGTTGCTCGGCCTTTAGAAGCAGGATAATTAGTACTGTATTTTCAGGAGCGCATCGTCGGCCGTATCTCTAGCTGGAGCAGCGAGTACAAGCAAAGAGACGTAATAAGAGTAATAGCGGTAGAGAACTTCATTATTGCTTTTAACTTTGTTGCCGCTGCCCGCACGGATTATATGCCGTAGCAATAGTGATCTAATAGTAACGAGTATAAAGAGAGAGCCGTAAGAAAAGGAGTAGACCTACGGTGTGATTTTTGTGTTAGCAGCAGCTATAACGTGTCGTTACTGGTCTTCACTATGCTATAGTCTCGCTGCAGTCTCGATTAATCGTCTTTTACAAGGTTGGGAATAAAGGCGTTAGGGAGAAGAGATGCTATAGGGCGAATGAATGGTGCTTGTTTGGATAATCGCTACGCATAGCGAGCCGGGGTTTCCTTTCTACGAAGGCCTAATTCGTCACAACGCTATGAAAGCTATATAAAGTACTCCGGCTAAAGTCTATCACGTTCCGATGAAGCGGAATTTTACTATATATATATAGGGGAATGTGCGTATATAAACTATACGGTATCAGCGCTATACTTAACTAGCTAGCTACCCCTTTCCTACTTTTCGTCTACCCGTTAGGCGGGGTAGTTTACTGGTTAGTCAAGGCCCTCTAATGCCTTGCCGGCATTAGACGAGTATTTCTACTCTCTTCGCTTGACAGATACCCCCAAATAACATACAACTTATCCTGGGCGTTGCCGTCGTCGCGGCCCACGTTTATATCAGGCGTCGTCCCGGTATAGCCGTGATACTCCTTATTAAGGAAGCCATCAATGCCTTCGGTTCCGCGAAAGAGCGCCAGTCGTCGGATTTTCTGCCGCGCCTCTGGATCCTTTTTGCACGTAAGGTAGCGGAATTTGCCTCCTGCGCCCTTTGCTAAGTCGTTTGACCCGGAAATTTCCTTATCTTGAACCGTGACTTCAAAGGAGGAGCAAGCATCGTCACGATTTACAGTATACTTAGGAATAATCCAAACAGATCTAGCAAGCGTTGTTAGCTTTCATGTCAGGGATTAAAGGGTACCGGCGTGTTATAACTTACTCTCCCCCGAAATCGTGATTGATTTCTTCACTGAGGCCTTGGGCCTCAAGGAGCCGGTTTGGTGGTGGATTCTTACTGTACACTACCTATGATACCGTTAGTGAATGGTGTATATACCTTAGAGGGGGATACGCTTACATCCACGCCAGATACATAGGGCTTCAAGTAGGATTCGTACAGATCATAGAACTCTGTCCTGAATTTTGTTAGGAGTTCTTTTCCTGCCTTTCGCGCATTGCTCGGGTCGGCGGCGATTTTATCAACCTAAAATTATATATTAGTACTTTGTTTCCGTGCGGTTTTAGGAGGCTTAGACATGCCCAATTCCTGCTCTCCTCCTCCATTTCGACACTAGCAAACTCGATTTCAGTTTTAAGGTCCCCATCCAGTTCGACTAAAATAGGCGTTAGTGATTGGACCATAGTTGGGCGTTTAATTGGAGTGCTAGGCATCTTACGACGTTGTAGAGCTTGCGACATTTCCGAAACTTTAACAAGTTCCCTTAAGACTATAGAAGACTAAAGTTGGGTATTAGTTTAGATGTTTTCGCAGGAAGGGAGTATGGCCCTAAAGTTGTATTCCATACCACTCTGCTTGCGCTGCGGTAATCGAGTATCTTCTGGCTCGCGGGGAAGTTTTGAGCATTGGGATACTCTTCGAGAAAGGGCCTAACGCGCCGGTTAGTGGAATGCTCACAGCCTATAGCCTCTTCTTGCACTTGCCGATATTCATAATCGTGCTGGCAGCCATTCTCAATGAACTGGTCGGACCACTGTTTGACCTGCCGGAACGAGCCTTCGGTAGAAGCCGCAGAAATTTTCTCAGGCGCTCCCGAACCTCCCATCACTTTGCCCAAGTCGCCTTGGTAGAAGAGCGATACCTCAACGTCAGCATTTTTACTGACCTGCTCCATGCTGTACTTTACGTCTACGCTCAGGTCGCCCTTGACTCCCCAAAACTTCAACGAAGCCTCGGCGCTATCGACTTGAATTAGTGCCGTGTATCTCTTGTCTAAAGGCGTAGAAACTCACTGTGCTTTGAGATCAGTCTTACTGACCGATCCTTTAGATTGGAAGGACACTCGAGCAATCATTTTCCCACCCTTATGGAAGCCTGAAATATTATTAGTTTTTATTTAATTAGGTGGTGGTGGGATCTTACCGCGGATCCAACGATCGCCAAAATCCGCATTGAAACTTTCACTCTTGTAGTTGTCGGTATTGAATTGGAACCCGGTCGGGAACTTTTGCTGTCGCTCAATATCGATGATAGCCACATATGTCAAGGTGTCCTTAGATATCTAGGAAATAAGCGTTAACATAATATCAATCCGTCTTGAAATGGAATACTTGCTTGTGTGTGATCGAGATAGTGGCCTGATATAGATGCACTTTGACCCCAGCCAGAGACGGTCGCAGAAGCGCTGATATCAAGCGTCTTCAAATACGAACTTGAATCTTATCGTCAGTTTATGACTCGTTCCATCCTCGTTGAATTGGGGTCTTACTCGTATGATTCCGTGAGCTTAGAGTACACCTTTAGAGTGCCAGCGCAGTCAGGTTGATCGGCAGCCCGAGCACTGATGTGTTTCTCGTTCACATTCTGGCCCTGTTCCGGTGCCTGAACAGTCCCGTTGTTGCCTGTGCCTTCCTCATCAAGCAGTTTGTCGAGTTCGTTTGGGTCAGGTGGGGTGAAATATGACGTTGAATCTACGTCGGTCAAGTTTGCACTCGGTTTCGAAAAGGGGAATTCCACGGTTTGGTTAGCCATGTTTCTAGGTGTTGTAGTATTTATTGGCACGGTTTGGCCACCCGTGCCCTGTTCAGGTGCCGCAGGTTCATCCCGTTTTGCCTTGTTGGAGGGTGCGATGACGGCCCCAGGCTTCAGTCCTTTACCCAAAAACGAGTTATAACTAGTTTCCAGTTAGAGTCATGTCAGATATCCAAGACCAAGGTTAGTAGGGGTTGCGTACGCTTGTGCAACATTCAACAAACCGTTCCCTTCGACTTTCTTGTTGTCGGGCTTGGCCGCGGCATTGCCTTGTGCGCTGTTGCCCTTGCCCTTTTCAGTAGAACCATCCTTGTCCTTTCCAGCAGAGCCATCTTTGAGATCACAGCCGGGGTCGTCTCTCTTGCAGTGCTTCTTCTTGCAAGCCGTGTCCTCGGGCAGTGTCTCCTGTCCACGGGGCTTACGGCGCTCCATGAGGGGAAAGTTGCCATTCCAGCCGACCGGCTTTCCGTTTTCTTTCATGAATGCAATGGCGCTATCCTTGGTCGACCGACCCGCAGGAGGCTTGTGAGGCTTCCATTCAGGCTTTTCCCAGACGGGGTTGTTGTCTGCAAAGGGGGCAAGCTGGGGCACGTTGATACTTGCCATATATTGATCAAAAGTAGTATCGTATTTGGGATTTTTAACAAATGATTGGTGAGCAGCAATTTTGTCCAACTGGATGTCATCAGGGGCGTCGTGGCCTGGGGGCAGCCAGCCTTTGACCTGGGCCCAGCGAATGCCCCCTAGACACGAGACTTCAGCCTCTTTAGGGATTGGATTGGCTTCCGCAAGAGAGCTTTCTGCGTCGATACAGTTTGGCGTTGCTTGAATGAGGTGCACGTACCCCTTGTTATCCCGGGCAAACTTATTTGCGACGGAAAACAAGGTCGAGGTCGAGACGTAGGCGGTGCTTACGAGGCCGCTGCCGCCAAGGTCGCAATATGGACCATCAATGTGGTCTAAGAGGCTGTAAGGATCGTGGTTCCGCGTGTTGATATCGAGCTGTGCCGGAATGCCCCCTGCGGCCTCGAGCAATTCGGGCTTTGATCCGCCCCCACGGACGATGAGTTTAATGGGTGCTTTGGGTGACTGCTCTGTCGGGGCAGAGTGACTGTTGCCCGGCCATATGAGCAGACTGAGTGCAGCCGACAGGAACGGGGCAGGCCCGTGGCTGAACATGATGAATGAATGAAGCTGATTCGAAGTCGTTTAAACGATTGACCATGAGATGTGAGGAGTAACGAATGTGAGGTGGGTGTTGATGGCGAGGTAACGAGGTTCTGGCAAGAAGATTTATCTTACACTCGCTGGCGAGGACCAGGTGAGATATATAGTCAGGAACGAGGTATCCGCGGCGAGTCTAGATTCGTCTGGATACATGGCTACGTGCTGTCAACCCTGGTATGATCCCATAATCATATCTTATTGCATGATTCGCTCGCACTTGTCATGGCTGTCAATCCACCCAACCTGAAAGGTCACTCATGCAGCCGTTGCGAAGATCAATGCTCATCGCTCGTCTGGGAAACCAACCGAGCCAAGGCATTGATACTGCTCCTTCGCTGAAATACGTCGAGTCGCCTAGTGCCTCGTGGGTTTGCCCACTGCGGAATCAATCAATCAACTATCTTTAAGTTTCAGAAAAGCTGGGCTCCACGGAAATAATTAGCAGGCGGCAGGGTGCTCATAATAAACGGTCCACGGATTACCAGGAGACATCAGACTAATCTAGTGCGCAGTGGGGAAACTGGAGTGAACTATAACACTTGTGCTGTATGTAGTTATAAGGGCCAACAGGGAGGAGAGTCTCTTGTCCGGCCACACCGAAGGCGGCAGGTAAGTATGGCCGGGAGCATCGCAAGGCTGAAGGTGGGAAGAACGAGGTTCAACCCTACCGTCATTCCGCTAAAAGTTGATGCTTGCTGGTTCCCTTACCTAGAATATGTTAGTTCCAGTGATTGGTGGTTTCAGATGTGGTATAAACTTCACCCAAATTACGAATCGTCTAGTTCAATCCACATTTATTAAGCATAAAATGTAGTCTTGGTGAATCATTCGTTGTTATGCGTAAGAGGCCCAGCTCCTCACAGTAGGAACATTGTAGAACTATTGCGAGTAATAAGTCACTAGTCAGTCGCCACCACATGTACGTTTCTTAGCGCCCCCCCCCCCCTTACCCTCCTCTCTATAGTTTTCAAGTCGTCCGTTGGTTCACGCAGAAATAATCTCGCGGGGCAGTAATTTAGAATGGCAAGGGTCAATGTATAAATTTAGGTTTGTCTGTTTCATCCAAGAAGGGATGAGCAAGGGCCCTACCTATAACCAAGGACAGTGAAAGAGTCTAAGGGAAAGACACATTAACTAATGAGGATATTGTAGGTACGCATAAGAAAGGCCCTGAGTCCCTGACTAGCCGGCACATGAAAAAGCGGGTTAGTAGAGCTGGTCAAGGCGCAGCGCCGATAATTACTGTCTATTCATGTTTATATTCGTGTCTGTATATTCCCCGTAGAAAAGAAGGTTCTTAGACCAAAAGGTGGATAAAGGTCCATGTGGCCTCGTGTCTACTCGCCCCAAAAGACGGGCTTTTGTACCCCCCTACCGTAAAAACTCATGAACTTGGACCAGTATTAGAGTTCCAGGGCAGTGGGGGCTGCACGATCAGCCTCACAGCAGACTTGTACCTAAGACCAATCTGCCTAGTTATTGTATAATAGTCTCTACGTAATCGTCTATTATATCTGGCGGGCTTATCAGCCTTATTAATAAAGGCGATAAAAGCGGCAGGCGGTTAATTCCTATAAATAACGATAATAAAGCCGGCAAACAGCTATCGCGAAAGCTTCAAAGTTGACTGTATTTTATGTGCGTGTGGGCGGGCGGCGTGTCTGCCTGCAGTGGCTAGGGCGGGATTGGGCCGATATGTATACAGTACAAATTTGGTATGGGGCAGATCCGTGCCGCCCCCACTACCCCATGCCGCTAAGGCGGTCCAATTTCATGAGTTTCTACGGTATATATCTAAAGATATACCTATACCGACGGTAATATTAGTAACTAGAAGCAGCTAACTAGATACTAAAGGATAAGGGGGTCTAGGGCGAATAAAGGAAAAGAGAAAGCACTAAGTAGGGCAAGGTAAGAGGCAAAGAGAGAAAAAGGTATATTAATAAAGAGAAAGAAAAAGATACTAATAATTAATAATGCCGTCTGCTAGCAAAGGGGAAAAAGAGACTTCTTTTATATAACGAAATTTCCCTCCTTCTTCCTTAGACAAAGAGAGGGCTAAGGGATTATCTAATTAAGAAGAAGGCTAGCTAGAGACTCTACTAAGGATCCTACTAGGGATCCTACTAGGGATTCTGCTAAGGACCTAGCAAAGACTCTACTACGCGGGCTATATATTTGTGAGGGTATAGAATAGAAGCCCCCGTTAAAGTATATATTCCAGCCGATATCTATAAGTACTTAAATAATAGACCAAACCCAAACGACCACTTTTTAATACGAACGGTATATATAAAGAAGTATATAAGGCTATATAGACCATTAGCGTAGTCTTAGCGTTAGCTTAGCTAGGGACCACTTACGCCCAGTTAGAGAAGCAAAACGCGAGAAAGATGCTAAAATCGCGCCACTTCTGGCTTGGCTCAATGTCTAAAGCTGCCAAATACTCCCTCCCGTTGCTATACGGACAGTAACTGCAGTTGTCTCTTCCGTCCGGGTCAATCAGGTAACCAGCTCCTGCTTGCTCTATAAAAGCGCTAGCGAACTGGCTGCACATCTGACCACTAGGGATGCGGAAGTGAGCAGCCTCGTTTTGGGCACACCGAACTGCTTGCCGCGGGAGAGTGGCAGCTAAAACGCCGCCTATCCAGTATGTGCTGGGGTTCAGCCAGTACACCTATCTAGCCCGTCAGTATTTGTCAGACGTTTCATCCTGCAAGTTGTCTACGGTGCTTACCCAGTATTTCCAAAATGGGTTCAGCTGTTCGTATGGGACCACCACACCATTAATCAGTGAGAACATGACTAAAAAGAAGGGAAGAACATTGCTGATAACGGTAAAGCTAGGCGCCCAGGCACAGATCCACTGGCCCCAACTGGACTGGAAGAGGAAGAAGAGAATCGTCATCAAGAACACGTAGCCAGATGTCGAAGAGTCGGTGGGCAGACCGGTTGGCCAGTACCAGAGAGCCCAGTATAAGATACCGGAGATGAGCGATCCTGGAATTTCTGAGAGAACGGAGGCGGTGCAAAAGGCCACCCAGCCGTAGATGCGGCTGGGGTACTCGCGACCCTCCCAAAGGGCGCGATCCATGTAGAACTTTGGCAGGATGGCGTTAAGGACCGTCGGTGGAATGAGCACGATGAGGAAAGACGTGAACATCCGGCTCTGCATATCGTTGACGGTGTCACCGAGCTTCCAAAATGTGAAACCATTGAAGATGCCAGCAATGACGGCGACAAAGAGCTTGCCGTAAATGTACGATGGTGCTCGCCACTGGTTGACAAACATGCGCTTGGTCAGAAGCGCCGCCTGCAACGCTACAGGTGCCGCAAACTCATGCTGGAGCACTTGCGCGTCTTCCTGTGTTTGGCTGCTTCGCTCATCCTTGATGCGCTGAATCTCCCGCTGGAGCGCCCTGTTCTCGTCGGACGTGCGCCACAGCTCGTTCCATTGTTCACGCGCACTCGCCGACGTCTCAATCAAGAATTCCGCGACGTTCTTGCCTTCGGGGCACCTGGCACCTCGAGCCGCAAAGTAGTCTATGACTGCACTGCCGTTGTGGCCCACGGGACCGAAGTAGAATGTGTTGCCTCCAGGGTTCAAGGCGAGGATGTAGTCAAAGGTCTCAATCAGCTCCGATGAAGGCTGATGGATTGTGCAGACGATGGCCTGTCCAGAGGCACACAACTTCCGCAGGAAGCGCACAATCGAGAAGGCCGACTGCGAGTCGAGACCGCTTGTCGGCTCGTCCAGGAATAGCAAGAGAGACGGCTTTGCGGCCAGTTCCACCCCGATAGTCAGGCGTTTCTTAGGTTCGACCCCCAGGGAGCCCACCATGGCACCTTGGATGTCGGTGAGCTCAAGGAGGTCGATGACTTTGTTGACGTAGTCTATCTTGTCGTGTCGCGGAATATCGCGGCCCTGGCGGAGGAGCGCCGAGAACTCGAGTGCCTCTCGGACTGTGGCAGTTCCCTCGTGTAGGTCCATCTGCTCGACGAACCCTGTTCTTCGCTGAAAGTCCGATTGGAGTGGTCTGCCGTCAACGAGTATGCTGCCCTTAACAACGCCGACGGTCTGCCGCTGCGACAGGGTGTTGAGTAGAGTCGTCTTTCCTGCTCCACTAGCTCCCATCAAGGCAACCATGACGCCGGGCTTCGCGTAGCCTTGGATGTCGTTAAGGAGCTTCTTCGGGCCTTGCGGCGTCGGCACGGTATAGCCGATGTCTTCCCAAGTAAAAACATTTGCGCTTCTCGTAAACTGCTCGAGGACGTCGTCAGGCGTCTGCTGGCGCTCAATAGCGGCGCCCGATGTGTCGCCCGATGTGTCCAGATGACCGACTTCCTCTTCGTCGGCGTGGGACGGGCGCTTCGTCAGCTCCTTGGCTTTCTTGGAACCCGTAAACACTAGCCCGCCCATGCCGGAGCTCGCAAACGAGAGCACTTCTGTGGCGGCGACAGTGACAAGAATGTAGAGAATGGTGAAGGCAACGATTACGCCAAAGTTTCGCCACAGATGAGCCCGGCTGTATTCGAATTGCTCGCTCAGGTACCGCGATCCGGGGACGACTGGGTTGCCCGGCTGCGACCCGGAGATTGCACACCCTTGGTATTGAGGCTCGATGCCAGGGCCCCGCGGAACGAGCTGGCTCGAGGCGCACTCCATGTCTCGGCCGGAAAACTCGTTGGCCAGCACCGCCTCAAAGGCGTAGCTCACCTGTGTGCAGCAACGCTTGTCAGTCATGGGCCGCGAACACGCATATGCAGAGCACATACTGGGTTCAGATAATAGATCCAGCCGAACCAGATCTTTTGATTGAGCAAAACCGGTTTCGGAATGGCATATCCGGTAAAGACGATTAGAAGATTGAGCGCGGTGCCGGCGAAACGAATTGCTGCGTCCATGTTCGGCGAGCAAGCCGCAAACATTCGATAGAGGGCCGTTACGCAGATTGTAATGGCGTAGACGAAGAGCATGTAAATAAAGAACTTACCTGCTTCTATATCAAGGTTCGTCATAAAGTACATGATGACACCAAAAACAATGACCTCGGCGACGAGCATGGGAAAGTCGGCCAGCACTCGGGCCAGATTGACGGCGCTGGGCCGGTAAAAGGCATAATCTTTCTGCCGCAAGATGACGGACCGCCCTGAAACGGCCTTGGCGAGCTCCGACAGTTGCAGCCAGCCCAGGAACAAGATGGAGAAGAAGGACACGCCGCCGCGCAAGAACGCGCCCCGGGTGTTGCTGGGGGTGTTGTAGAAGAGGGAGCCCACAATCAGGCCGTTGCTGATGATGATGAAGAATTTTGTGTAGAGCGACGTCTTGTCGCCCCAGATTAGCCAAAACTCACGACGCGTGCATGCGAGGATCTGCTTCCAGAAGGAGACTGTGTAGCTGGACCCCTTCATGACGGTCTTAGACTTGGACTCCCGAACCGACTTCTGGAAAGTCTGCGCGTCGACGTTCTCGGTCTGGCTCATGTGCTGCTCGAAGTCTCCAACGTCTTCAAGGACCCTTTGGTACGCGCGACTTTTCCGGAATGCTTCCTCAAGCTCTTCGGCGGTCTTGGGGCACCTATCGCTGTAACCATGGCGAAACCGCCGAACATTGACGTCACAGACGGACGTGAGGAAGTCGGCGGTCGTTTGCCTCGGCGGGCAGTGAAAGCCTAGATCGATAAAGTACTGCCGGGCCTCGCTTACGGGTCCTTGATACAGCATCCGCCCGTCGTCGATGACGAGCACCTTGTCCATCAACTCGTAAATACCCTCGCCGGCTTGGTAGAGTGTCGTCAGGGTGGTGCGGTCGGACACGTCCGTCATGATGCGCAGAGACTTGGCGTAGTTGAAGGCCGTAGAGGCATCGAGGCCGCGAGTGGAGTTGTCCCAGCACGTCACGGTGCTCTTGGTGGCCAGCGTCTCGGCAATGCTGACTCGCTTGCGCTCGCCACCAGAGACGCCCCGAACATACTCGTCGCCGACGGGCGTGTGCTTGACATGCGACATGGCAAACATTTTGAGGAACGAGTCTATGATGAGCTCGATGTTGCCTCGCTCGTGTTGCCTGGTCTTGGTCCGAAGGGAAAAGTCGAGTGTCTGGCCGACGCTCAAGTTGGGAAGATGGCGGTCGTCTTCTGCGTTGTAAACGACTTCTCCCCGGAATCTCTTGTCCATCTCCGAGGCAGAGATGCCGCCGTAGAACACATCCCCCTCGACGCTCTGAAAGGATCCGCGATTGTTGGCAATGACCTTAAGAAGCGTGCTGCAGCCGCTTCCAGGTCGTCCCAGCACGAGCATCATCTCTCCCGGCCGGATGACGCCGGTGAAGCGGCGGATGAGCTCTCGAGAAGGGCCCGTCTTCGCGAGTTGCAGGCCGGGCACCCAGCCGGAGAGAAGATCGTACAGGTCGGGGCCAAAGGTTCCGGCAATGGCCTGGGGCAGCGTGCGGACAGTTGCCGCGCTGCTTCCGACACCCTTTACGGATAAATCCTTGAAGACAACGCCGACCTTCTTGGTCGACTTGCCACTAACTGGATGTCGCTTCTCGAGGTGCCCGCCACGCATAAATTGCTCCAAGTGGAAGTCATCATGCCCAAGAGACTTGAAGCTGTCGGCTTCTTCACCCGGCCTACTGCGGTTTGCCTTTTCGACGTCGGTCTTATCGGATCCAAAGGAGGCTATGTGAAAATTCTTCGCAATGCCACCTCTGCCCTTGGTCTGCTTTTTCTTGCTTGCCGACCGTGTCGTGCTTCGCCTGCTTAGTTCCTGTTGCAGCTCGTCAAAGTCATGTCTGGCTTCCTGCGGATCGACCGGACCGCCCTCGTAGGAGTCGCCCCAATAGCCATCGCCAGAGGCATTGGCAGACAAGGGGGTCTTTTCCGACCCTTGGGGTGGCTTGTCCTCGCTGTACTGATTTTGCCTATCGGCCGCGACCTCGTCGTCTCCCGCTGGAGCTTTGTCTGCCATACTGCCAATTGTTCGCTAGACGCTTGTTGAATCACTCGATGCCTTGTGCGAGTAGAAATAGAACCAAGGCAGTGAAAGAGGACGGGACGAGAGACAGTTGAAAAGCCAAGTCTCGGCTCACTGCCATAGACCAGCCGCGGAAACGATCGTTTGGCCGCAACACACATCGGGGAAAATAAAAAGCAAGTCGCTTGCCGGAACGGCATTGGTAAGCAGGCAGGGCCGTCTCTGGAGATTACATAGCTATCTCCGATGGTCATCTTTGCCTTGGCGGACTTTGTTCGGCCTGGGGAGATCTCCTTATCGGCCTCTGCATTATTATGCATTATTAATTGAAGCTCAGGGCTTGTGCGTGACGGACAGTTGTCCCTCCGTAGGCTTAGAGCTCTGCCGGGGCGATTTCGGAGCCCACAATAATAGTAGGTTATGCGAGGAGCTTTTTTCGACCTCACCGGCGAATGACTCGATTGGGACCGTCAGCTTTGGGCTAGCGTCCGGGGTGGTAAGCCGGTGCGGCGGCGGGCTTACCGGGAATAACAACGGCTTGCAAGTTGCGGTCTAATTAACTACTGTATGTATAGGGCGCCTTATCCTCCCCCCGTCGCTTGTTACGGCGGCCTATATAGATGCAGCCTTTAAAAGTTATCGGCCACGCTAAATTAGACCCTATAAGGAAAAAGGAAGTAGCAAAGTAAATAGAGTGCCCCGCACGCGATTTTATATAGCAGCCGCCCCTCCGCCTTTCTTAACATTCCCGATAATAATAAGGCGAAAAATAGATATCGCGACTCGAGCCCTTATTATAGTGCTTCGAGACGGCGGGAAATCGGCTACTAAAGTTACTACCTTAACTAGCGTGCCTCTTAGAATAGTTAAATATATCTATATACGAGCTCTTTAACGCGGCTTTAAGCTAGATACGCTGCCCTTAACCCTTTAAGACGAGTAGCTCTAAGATGCCCCTCGTTCTAGCTATCCCTCTAAGTAGCCTATAATCTAAGATAAGGTTCTTACGAAGGTTCGCCGCGATAGGTATAGAAGGGAAAAAAACTATACTAATATTACTAGCGAGCTAAGTTTAGTAGGGCACCTAGTCTTAGTAATAACTATATAGCGAGTCCTCCGCTTAATAAGCTTTTAAAAGATAAAGCCTATAAGGAAGCTAGGCTTAACAAAGAAGATATAAAAAGTACGACTAGCCTAGTATCTTAAGGAGCTACTATAAGAGAAGATATAGGCTTAGATTAAATAAATCTCTTATTATATATAGAAAATAATTAAACTTAAGGGCGGCAATAAATATCGCGAGGGTAGGCTATATTACGGGATACCCTATAGTCGATAATCTAGGTACCTATAACGATATCGGCCTCCCTTAGGGAAGTTACCCCTAACTCTCTAAGGCTCCCCGCGGAAGAAGGAACCCGGAAGCTACCGGGTAAACTCCGGGAAATCACCCGGAAATCCTAGAAATAATAACCGAGCGGATTATACGGACATTTTATAGAGATTTCCCCTAAGGATATATTATATAGGGAATATACTACGATTTCCTAAGTAATAATAGCTCTTTAGGGATTATACCGATATTTCCCTAAGAAGTTACTATAAGAATATAGTAGGGAAATAATAGAGAAATACCTATGCTTACTTAAGGAAAATACTAGGAAATACTACTAATACGCCGTACTACTATCGTACGATTATAAGGTTAAGATATTACTTAGTTAAAGCCCTAAGTAAGGTCTTACGCTTACTATAGTATATATAGAAGATAGAGAACCCGCTAGATCTTAAGCGGGTAGAGAAGAATATAGATAGTTATTACTACTCTTACTTTAACTCGTAAGACTAGTAGCTAGTTTATATTTAACGCGCGTAATAACGTATAGTAGCTAGTCCGTATAATACGTTTAATTACGTATAGTAGCTAGTCCGTTTAATTACCTATTAGACCTATACCGGATCTAAGTAGACGGTAAGGTTAACATACTAGCCCCGTACTAAGGGACTAGTATATAATAGGCTAGATTAGGTATAAGCTAAGAGCGGTGCTATAGTAATTTAGTTGCTACTTCCTTTTTCTATATAGGGTCTAATTTAGTATAGCCGATAACTTTTAAAGGCTTCCTTTATAAGTAAGTTAAAGATAAAACGTATCTTACTATTTTTAGAACTAATATATAAACCTTATAAGGGTAGATTTTATTTTTTATATAATATAATATTAAGTATATAAAAAGAATTTCTCTTATATAGGTAAATATATATAACTTCTTATAATTATATAACTATAATACTCCTTTACTATATAATAGCGTTTAATATCTACCCTATAAAGGGGTTTAGGTATAAAGCTATTTAATTTTAGTATCTTAACTAAATACTTTATCTATATTATATATAACCTTTCTATTCTCCTTAAGATATAAACGATTTAGATAATAGTAAAGTAATCTTTATAGAATTAAGGATTAAGCCTAAGCTAGCTAATAAACCGCTACTACTAATAGATATCGCTTTTATTTTAACTACTACTACTACTATAATTATAGATCTAACTACTTTATTAAATAATAATAGCGCGTATTACCTTACTAGGGCGTTAATATCTTTAACTATAACGCGATAAATAAATATAGTAAGAACTTAGATAAAATAGCTAAACTCCCTTATTATAGTATTTATTTTATTATTTTCGGCTTAGTATAAGAACGTATAAATAAGTACGCTTAATATATAGAGGTATAAGGAGGGACTTATTAGTTTAATATATATTTCGCCTATTTATATTCTCGATCTATTATAATAGTATAGCTCCTATATTAAAATAGTTAATATTTTAATCTATATAGCTTTAACTAATAAAGATTATTAAAAGATTAACTAGATTCTTTATTATATAATTAAGTAAAATAAGCTAATAGCCCTTATATAATTCTCTAGGGCTATTTATAAGACTATATTATTTATTAACTTCTTTATAAAGGTATAAATTACTATAGTAAATATAAAGTATACGATCTATATACTATACTTATTTAAGATTAAAGATAATAATAATTTATTATCTTTATTCTTAAATAAAAAGGATAAGGAGAGTCTAAAGCTAGTTTAAGGAAGTTATATAAAACCTATAATAAATAAGTAGGAAAGGAAAGCTATAAAGCTATTTATAGGGAAACGTAAGTAATTAAGCTAGATAGCTATTAAATAAAGTATAAAAAAGAAGGATATAATAAACTAAGCGCGTTTAGTATTTAATATACCTCTAACTAATATAAACTCTATTATATTATTTAGTATAAAAAGGAAAGAGGAGAAATAAGTAATAATAAATTATTTTACTTTTAATATAGATATATTATAAGTTAAATTCTCGCAAAGAGAAATATAAGAAGTATATAAAAATATATAAAGATAAAATTAAAAGTAAGGGGCTAGATAGGCAGTATAGAGATATTTAATTCTTATAGGGGTAGTAATTAAGGTAAAGGAGTAATTATTCTATTGCCTTAATTTTCCTTCTTTCCTCTATCTAATACCCTTCTTTATACCTATCTAGCATCTTAATTAATAAAGAAGATCCTACTTAAAGAAGCTACTAATATCCTTTTAACTACTAAGCTTTTTACCGGTTTTTCCCCTCCTTTCTAGCCGTTGCCAGTATATCCGTCTTATCTCTCGCTACCTTTATAAGAAGCTATCGCTACTTTTACTTCCCCTCTTTCCCCTACCCTCTTCTTTATACCTCCTTTTAGCTCTTTCTTTAAAATATATTTTTTAGCTTCCTAGGTCCCTCGTACTAAGGGATATCTCTAAGAACTACGAAATTAAGCTATATTTCGCGATATACCCCCTTAGTTATAGCCTGCCCTTATAGAAAGGGTAAAGCTAAATACCTAGGCCGGTAAGCGTTTAAAGGAGGTCTTAGTCTATACTTATCCCTTACTTAAGAAATCCGGGTTTTAGCCCTAGGCTCTTTTAGACCTACTTTAAGAAAAAGGGGTCTAAGGAGGAAATTAAGTCCTATAAGAAAGGGGGGCTTCTTTAAGGATAAGTCCTTAAAAAGGGGACCTTTTAAGAAGAATAAGTCTTAATTAAGCTAGGGGCCCTTCTTTAAGATAAGTCCTAATTCCTTTCTTTAGTTATAGACGTCTCCTTCCTCCTATATACTATTAGCTCCTCTTATAAACTCTTAAAGAGGGTTTCTAAGGATAGCTTCTCTCGAACGTTTTCTAGCTTAATTTACTATAAAAAGACAGCTAGCTTCTACTTTAATAAGGGCTTTATAAGACCGTTAGCTTTTATTAATACCGTTAGAACCTAACGGACGGAAATAAGTCCCTTTTAGACCTCTTAGTATAACTAATACTAATAGATATCGATATACTATAGCTAAGTCGATAGCTTACTATTTTCCTTTATAAGAATCTATATAGTCTATATATTATTATATTCTATAGCTAATAGGGTCGGAATTTATAGTCGTAAAGATATTAATAGCTAGCTAAGGAAAATCGCTTCTTTTAATGCTTTTAAAAGAGCTAGTAGCTTTACTTCCGTATTTAATATAGTAACGGTAGCTTACTTTAAAGTTCTCTAAGTAATAGTTCCTTTAAAAAGGGATATAATATACCCCTATAAGCTCTTTCTATCTAAGGAATTATCTATAAAGGATGAATCGCTTAAATAAAGAAAGATTTTAGTAGCTAATTTCCTTCCCTACCCTCCTAGGCGTAGACTATATAATCTCGTTAAATAAAGATAAAGGATTACTTAGTCTACTACTTCTTAGTGCCTAGGGCTAGGATTCTAGTTATGCCTAGCTAGCTAGGAGACTATAAAAGAGATATCCGGTCTAGTAGAAATAGGTAAAAAAAGTAAGGAGCCTACCTTCTATTAATATCGGTATTTCTCTTACTCCTTAGCTTAAAAGGACGGATTATATAAGGGAATATATATCACGGTACGATTAGTTAGGTAGTAGAGATAGCTAG